CAGCTCTTTGAGGTATCTCCATATTGATTTCCATAGTGGTTGCACCAATTTGCACCCCCACCAACAATGGAGAAGGGTTCCTTTCTCCCCGCAACCCCGCCAACATTTGTTATTGTGTGATTTCTTGATAGCAGCCATTCTTTGTGAGGTGAGGTGGAATCTCAGTGTTGTTTTCATCTGCATCTCTCGAATGACCAGTGATGTGGAGCATTTTTTCATATATTTACTTGCTGCTTTTACTTCTTTGTCTGAGAAGTGTTCATTTCAGATGTTCATTTTTGAATTGGGTCTTTATATTTGGGGGGCTGATTGTTTTGAGTTCTGTATATATTCTAGATAATAGTCCTTTGTCTGAGGAGCAGCTGGTTAAAAGTTTTTCCCACATTGTAGGTTGTCTCTTAGTTCTGTTGATGGTTTCTTTTGCAGTGCAGAAGCTTTTTAATAAGATGAGATCCCAGTTGTTGATATGATCCTCTCAATAGATGCAGAAAAAGCATTTGACAAAATTCAGCACCCATTCATGATAAAAACCCTGCAGAAAATTGGAATAGATGGTCTCTATCTCAAGTTAATAAAGGCTACCTATGAAAAACCAACAGCTATCATATTAAATGGCCAAAAACTGAAAACCTTCATGTTAAAATCAGGAACAAGACAGGGATGCCCACTATCACCACTCCTCTTCGATATAGTTCTGGAAACATTAGCCACAGCAACAGCCACATGGCAGCGGGTATAACAACTCCCAATTTGAAACTATACTACAAAGCCACTGTGATAAACACAGCATTGTATTGGCAAAGAAACAGACCTGAGGATCAGTGGAACAGATTGGAAGACACAAAAACACTTCCAGATGTACTCAGCTACCTCATTTTTAACAAAGGAGCTGACCATTCTCAGTGGAGGAAAGAAAGCCTCTTCGATAAATGGTGTTGGAAAAACTGGATTTCAACCTGCCAAAGATTAAAATTGGACCCTTATCTTTCACCATGCACTAAATTAAAATGCAAGTGGATTAAAGATCTAAATATTAAAACAGAAACACTAAACTTACTGGAAGATAAGTTAAGCAGAATTCCAGAAAACATTGGCATAGGAAAAGATTTTATGAACAAATCCTTAGGAGCACAGGAACTAGCAGAAAGAATTAACTGGGATCTCATCTTATTCTGCTGTTCTTAAAGAGATACATAGGTCTGTTTGTTACTGTATTACATGTAGATATATTAGACATTCTTCATTTTATCAGTTTATGGTGTTTTGTGTCATGCTGCTTTTATTCAACATAAAAAAATAGATTATTCATGAGGCCTTTGGGTTTATTTTATTCTTAAATATTACTCTATTACATGAAAATACAAGTTTCCCATGTTACTCTTTTCATTTTCCATTATCTCTAATGAATGTAGCTTCTGTGGACATTTTTTACAGGATCCTTATTGACCATTTGCACCCTTTTATCTTGGAGTCAAATTGCAGCATTATAAGAGGCATGCATATATTTAATCTTCAGTTAATACTGTTAAACAGTTTCTAGAATAAAAGTATTGAAAATGGCTCATACTACAACATTTCTAGACCCTCGTTAGCTCTTCTACTGTTGGTCTTGTCAGTTCTGGCTACATATTCATTAGGATGCACTCCTGATTTTTATGTATGTTATTACTCTGATAATGCTGTTGTTTTTATTGTTGATTGTTCTGATGAGAGCAATGTTCAGCACCCCTGCAGGGTTCATGGCTTTGACTCTCATCTTCTGTGTAGCGCCTGTTGGAATCTTTTGGCGTTTTTCAGTTAGTTTTGTCTTTTTTACTGATTTAAACAAAATTTTATGTATTCAAAGTATGATTTTATAATCAGTTATAACTATTGCAAATTTGTGTTTTCCCTTTTCTCTCTACTATTAAGTGATCTGCCAAGTTTTTTCTCTCTCTCTCTCTCTCTCTCTCTCTCTCTCTTCAAAACCTTGAAAGTCTTGGGTTATCATAACCTTGGTATCCAAGGATAATGAACTGGCTTCCCTTGTATTATAGTTCTCTGGGGGATTTTCTTACATAAGATTTTTTTGATATCAGATATAATATTATTTCATCTGATCCTTCTTTGGGCTGTTGTTTATTTGATAGAAACATTAATTTTTATTCCACCACCTGCCTCACAAAGGCAAAGCCCTGAGTTCGATTCCCATTACCAAAAAAGAAGAAAGAAAGAAAAAAACATTAATTTTTAGCCCCTGCTATCTGAGATACTATGCTTTACCTGTGAGACAAACAGCTCCAGAAAGAATCCATTGACTAAAAGGGAATCTAGCAATGACAGAAATGGCACATTTTCTGGTTTTGAATTTGATAGAATTTCATATCCAGTTGTTTTAGAATTGTTGTTTTGTTTATTCTATCTAAACATAATAATGCAGAAAAGTAATTTAAGAATCAAAATTTTAAAAATGTGTACTGGGCAGGCTTGGTGGTGCACACCTGTAATGGCAAGTACTCCAGAGATAAGGCAGGAGGATCACAAGTACAGAACCAGCCTGGACAACTTAGATACACCCTGTTTCAAAATGTTGCTCAATGGTAGGGCACTTGTATAGTATATTCATTCCCCGGAATGGAGGGAGGAAAAAAAAAGAACAATAAACTGGACATCAAAAGGCTGGTGGTAGCTGTGTGTGGTGGCACACACCTATAATCCCAGCACTCGGGAGGCTGAGGCAGGAGGATCGCTGGGAGTTTGACACCAGCCTGGGCTACCTGGTGAGTTCCATATCAGTCTCAACTGCATAATGAGACCCTGTCTCAGAACAAAAACAACCAAAAAAAAAGGGCTGGTGGTAAAGGTACAATATCCCAATGATGAGTGTGACTGTACTGTATACCTAAAAAGTACCAATTAACTCAATGGGGGGAAAAAGGGCTGGTGGTCAGCTGGTCACTATGGTACATGCCTGTATTCTCAGCACTCTGAAGGCTGAAGCAGGAGGGTTGCTGTGACTTTGAGGTCAGTTTGGGGTACATAGTGAGGCCCTGTCTCAAAGGAAAAAAAAAATCTGGTAGTTACAGAAATGTATACAGCTGTTATGTTAAGCCTATAGACAGGCATGTACAACCTGTGGTCTGCTTTGCTGCTGCTGCTGCTGCTGCTGCTGCTTGTTGTTTTGAGGCCACATATGAAATATCTAATATCATTAATGGGTAAGTAATGTAACAGAATTACTTTTTAATATTTTTTTATTATGACTTTTTTTAAAAGAGGGCAGGAAAATAAAAGTAGGCCACAGGTGAGTCATGCCTGCAAGTTAGAATTACATATCAATTCCTTTCTTTAAAAATCAGATATTCTTATATATCACCCAGGAAAAACTTTGAACTTTCAACACCAAGAGCCATTAATAGAAAGTCCTTTGGCTCAAATACAAAATAGCTTCTTATATATTGAATGGAAAATAATTGCTGTTAGGTACTACATACCTATAATACCAGTAGGTATACTAGATCTTCAAGCTCTGTATTATCTATAGACATCATAGACTACTTCCAGTTGTACAGTTAAACATAGAAATGTAGATGCTGCCTCCTTTTTGGTAGGAGTAAGCTTTTTTTCAGTACATCATAATTAAATCATTTCCTATTATCTTTCACTCAGATCACTTCATTGCTTTTTATCTGTCTGCCCATAATAGTAATTAAAACTAATGATCCTTACATCTCTGTTCCCCAAGTGCATAGCATAGTGTTTTGCCATAGAAGATAGTAATTTAATGAAGGAAGAGACTGATGTTTAGTAATAAATGGTAAAGGAATATTACAGCTAATTCAGAAATGTTTTATAACTTTATCATAGTTACAGCCTCAAGAAAGTCAGTGCCTATTGTGGGTTTTGGTAACAACTTAACATCATCCAAGAATGTTACATCTTTGAGCTGAGGATTTAGCACAGAGGTTCCGGCACCTGCCTTGCAAACCCAAGGGCCTGAGCTCGATCCCCGGTACCAAAAAAAAAAAAAAAAAAAAAAAAAAAAAAAAAAAAAAAAAAAAAAAAAAAAAAAAAAAAAAAAAAAAAAAAAAAAAAAAAAAAAAAAAAAAAAAAAAAAAAAAAAAAAAAAAAAAAAAAAAAAAAAAAAAAAAAAAAAAAAAAAAAAAAAAAAAAAAAAAAAAAATGCTAAAAAAAAAAGAATATATCTTTGTAAGCTACACCTGAAATGTGAAAAGCATGGTCAGGAGTAGCATTATAATTTTTTGGGCTGAGCTTTTGCTCAGATAACTTCTGCGATAGTTACTATTGTTAAAGTGAACCAACAGATAGTTTTTGCTTATTTTTCATTTTTGCTTTTTACTAGGTTTCCATTCTTTTATGGAGTATTAAAAAGAATAAATATATATTGAATTAATAGTTCTAAGCCAACATAAGAACATAGACTTTTTGCACCTGTTTTTAAGCTTCTGGTTTCCAGTATCCATAGTCAGGTTTTGAGTACGTACACTTTTTAATTGTAGCCTGCAAAATATCTTTTCTAAGTTATATTTTTGTGTGTGTATTGTGGCGGCACCACTGAGCTACATCCCCAGCCCTAAGTTATTGTACTTTAGATTTAGTAATTCCTGTAAGTCTTTCAAATGACCTTACCTGGATTTCATTGTACAACTAATTTAATGTGTAAAACAACATTTTAGTTGTATTTTCTCAAAAAATACAAATGGCTTCTTGTTTGTATGTTTGGGAAACAGTTAAACCCAGGCAGGTGCTCTTCCATTGAGCTACATTCCCAGCCCAAAAGAATATAAGCAGGATGCATTTGTCTTATTGATCCAAATATCTAAACTGATTTTTACCTATTGAATTTGTGCCATTTTTTAGCTGATAATTTTTTTGCCAGATTAGTTGCAAGTTAGTGAATATGAATTATACTTTTAACTCTATATATAAGGTACGGAGTAACTTGTTTCGTTTTTCTTTTTTCTGTTCTTCCCCCCCACCCCACTTTCTTTGTTTTAAAGCAGCTTCTCAGCCTGTTGATAACCATGTTAGCCCGTCTTCCTTCTTGGGTCAGACTCCTGCGTCACCAGCCAGATACTCACCAGTTTCTAAAGCAGTTCTTGGAGATGATGAAATTACTAGGTAAGGAATTTAAATTAACATTCACCTTCTTACATAAAGTCAACTGTTTTTATATAATTATTTAGTCCTATTAGTTGTATGAAATAATGGGTTTCATACTGCGCTTTGTGAATTCAACTATTAATCCAGCAACAAATGAGAGCCACAATATTTAGGACTAAAAAATTTTAAACTTTATTCCTTTGCTGATGTATACCATAATATGTTTTGATAGTTATTTGATTGATGTTCAAAATTTAACAAGTGGTATTTTCTTTATTTCATATGTATCCGTGATATTTTGGCACCTAAAATACACTTTGTCCTAACATTGTCTGCACTGAAGTTTATGAATCTTTCCAAGCCCTGAGAATTCCAATAAGATGGAAATTAATCAATTTTTTTAAGATTTTAGCTCTTTTTCATATAATTTGAGGTACTTTATACAGTATTACATATTAGCTAGAGCAATTAACATATATGCTAGTTAATGGCTGTTTTATGTTTTTATTGGTTGCATCATTGTTAGCATTATTATTTTTGAATCTTTGTTTTTTAATTGTTATGATTTTTTTTCATCAGATCACTGATTCCAGGCAATAATCTCCATAAGGACAGAGAGGAGTTACTGTCTTATTTCTCAAATTTAGCATTGCTGTAAACAAAAGAGGTGCTCACTAATTATGTTTAGGTAAAATTAGCTGAAAGAGTAATGTTCTTATTATGACAGGAATATTCAAGGCTTAGTCTTTAGGCATTGTTCCTAGACTATTTTTTAACCATTTATTTTTGTTATTTGGTAATAGCGCCTATTTCTAGAAGAGGAAAAGTTAGTGGTTTATCTCATCTTTAATCTCTTTAGATGTTTTACAAATTAAAATCTATATTTTACTTTTATTAGTACATGTTTGCAGTACATAATGATTACATTTATCATGGAAAATTAGTACATATACATAACATCTAATAATTTCTAAAATATAAGTTGTATCTACACCTTTATTCCTGCTCCTATTCTTCTTCACTCTCTATCTCTTGTGTAGACTATTGTATTGGAATTTAAAGTATTACACAGTAGATTTCCCTCCCTGTTAGAGTTTTTAATTTCTCTACGTCCTCACCAAAACTTGCTTGTTACTTTTTGTTTTGTTCTGTACGGTGTGTGTTTGTAGTAGATTTGAAGTTTCTTATTGTGCTTTTGATTTACATTGCTTCTGATTTTAAGCATTTTTTCATGTGTTTATTATTTGAAAACTAGGATGTATTTTCCTCTAAAATTACTACTGGAAAGTAATACTGCAAAGTATTTTTAATTATTATTTGCTCATATAAAGTTATAATTCATATACATGTTTTGCAGCAGAGTAGAAACTCTAAACCATGAATCTACTATCAAAACTTAGGAAATAAAACATTACCAACATAGTGAAACCTATCTGTGCCCTTGATTCTGCCCTGGTTTTCCTTTACTGTTCCTCTGAATTCTTGTTAGCCTTGCCCTTTGTGCACTGTATACTGATACAGATGATAGACCATGACTATGTCAGAAGCACTCTTGATATTACATTTGACAAAATGTTTTGTACTTCTCACTTAGCTTATTGCCCAATAAAAGGGTTAACAGCACAATTTTTAAAAAATAAGTATTTATATTTTAAATTTTTGTTTTTAAAAAACACTTTATTTTGTTAAAGTTTTTTGTGACTAATTCCTCCTGCACATTTTTTTTAAAATCACATTAAATTTTGAAAATATTAAACAAATACGCTATATTCTATAGTTGATTAAATCTAAAATACACTATTAGCATTTTTATTGCTTTACCAGAAGGTATGAATAGGTTCCATATAAGTATATCTAACTGCCAACAATTTTAAAAAATTGTCAGTAGTAAAATTATATTCCAGAGACTTTGAAATTAACTAGATTATTAGAATTGACAAGCTGTAATAAGTAAATAAAATCTCTAGGAGTGGCTAAACCAAAAAGGTTTGGACTTTTGATGTGAGACCGGGTCTCCTTATGTTGCCCTATTCTCGAATTCAGAAGTCAACCTCCCACTTAGCCTCTTGAGTCGCTGAGACTACAGGTATGCACCATCATGCACAGCTTTAAAAAGATATCTAATTATTTCAGTTTTTAAAAGTCTGAATTGGGGAAATTTCAGGGTTGGTATAGTAACCTTAGGCCGTGATGTCTGTGGAATACGTTTTTTTTGTTTGTTTTTTATTATGGAGAATATTGATAGGAAAGCTCCTAAGGAGGCAGGAGGGGACCTGAGTGGGTAACCATGTATACCCTTGTTATCACCTTCATGTTTACATATCCAAACAAGGGGTTTTATTAAAAGTTTGTTTGTTGTTTGTTTGTTTGGGGAGGGGGTGTTGACAGAGGAAGTGTTTTTTCCTTACCAGAGTCATTCTTTGGGAAATGACAGAAACGTTTCCCTTCATTTCTCAGAGGAAGTGGAGTCAGACCTTGCTTTTGCATAGGGAATGGAATTAAAATGTCTAGTTTTGGTTAGTCATGATTCATCCCTTTGACAGGGACTGGAGAAAGACCTGGTTCCTCCTAAGAAAAAAGGGATAGCTGCCTTTTACAGCATCTAAGAAGTAGGGGTGGTGATTACTTCCTGGGCAGTGCAGCATGCACAGCATCAGCTTTTCATGAGTATATTTCTTGATAAGACTGTTTATATTATTTTTATATTTTTACGTTCTTTTCTGGTTTTTGGTTTCATGTTTGCTTGTTTTTTAATGTTAAGTTTTGAGCTTTTATAGTAAATCAGATTTTTATCCTTTTGAAGAATCTCTTTACCCCTCAGTTTGGAAAAGCCTTTTAGAGTCCATTTAGCTTTTTTTCCTTTTTTGTATCAGTAATCCTTGTGCTTACCAGGCAGGTGCAGCACCACTGAGCTAAATCCCCAGCCTCATCTAGCTTTCTTAATATTTTGATAGTGTGAGTTATCAATACAAAGTTCTCACTAAAAGAATGTCAAATTCTAAATAAAATTTTCAAACTATTTAATATTTTTTAATTTTTAGGGAACCTAGAAAAGTTGTTCTTCATCGTGGCTCAACAGGCCTTGGCTTCAACATTGTAGGAGGTGAAGATGGAGAAGGAATATTTATTTCCTTTATCTTGGCTGGAGGACCTGCTGATCTAAGTGGAGAGCTCAGGAAAGGCGATCGTATTATATCGGTAGGACATGTTAATCAAAATGCTGTTTTTATTATCTTACCTATGACTTGTTTATGATTGCAGGGGGATTGTTTTTTTAGCTCAAAGTTATGGATATATTCTTAGTTGTCTTAACCATTTCATGCTGGAATTTCCAGAATTGTAGTGCTGTCCAAGAATATATTTTATATGATAGATTTTCATTTGATATTAGACCTTGCCAGTCAGTTTGGGGGAGGGTTATTTTTTATTTGTGGTACTGGAAATTGGACCCAGAGCCTTTGCAAAAAGCCACATGAGGCCATCATCATCATCTCCCCACCCACTTGCCCCTGGGGAGATCAAACTCTGGACCTTGCACTTGCTGGGCAGGTGCAGTGCCACTGAGCTACATCCCTGGCCCCCAATCCCCTTTTTTGATACAGGGTTTGCTGCGTCTCAGTATTGTCCACTCTGGACTCAAACGTGCAGTCCTCCTAGAGGCCTGGGATTATAGGCATGGGATGAGGAATCCATTTTTATAAATGTAGTTGGAGGGAACTGTATTCTCTGTTAACTTGTTGGTTACTTGTGTAGTTATTTGTATACTTCTTTCCACTTAATCACTTAGCTGTTTGACCTGTAATTAAAAGGTTTTAGGCCTGGTGTGGTTGTGTACATCTATAATCCCAATACTCTGAGACTAAAGCAGAAAGATCAGGATCAAAAGTTCAAGCCTACCCCAGGCAATTTAGTGAGTGTCTCAAAATTAAAAGTAATCAAAAGATTGAGGATGTAGCTCAGTGCAGAGACTGTTCAATCACTAGTACCACCAAAAAACAAAAGGCATTGAAGCTGTTTGAACATGAGGTGAGTTTAGCAGTCTGTCCTTGCTGCATTAACTTTTTTCTTTATGTCTTTGGGAGGCTGGGGTGAGATAGATAGGGTCTCACTATGTAGTTCAGGCTGGCCTTGAACTCATCATGTAGTTCATGATGGTCTTTTAACCTGCAGTCCTCTTTCCCTGGCCTCCCAAGTGCTGAGATTACAGGCATGGACTGCCATGCCTATCCTTTCGTCTTTTGAAACTGTTAGATGCATCTTAAGTTTAGAAATGTCACTCCTTCCTGATATATAGAAGTTTTTATCATTGTCATGATCGTCTTTTGTTTTTTAACCAGGGATCAAACTCTAGTCCTTGTGCTGTGAGGCAGGCCGCAGAACCACTGAGCTAAATCCCTGGCCTTTGTTTTGTTTTTTTTTTT